AGCCAATACTAATTATTCAGCTTCCAACATTGAGAAGGTGAATACTTACCAATGGCATCTCAAGCTTGGCCATATGAGTTTCCAGCTTATTCAACAACTACAACAACACAAAGTCCATCATGACTTCGATATCTATTTTCATCGATGAAGAAGCTGATCGGGGGCGTAGCCAAAAGAAATATATATATATTTTTTCATCCTCGCCCTCCGGAGCTCCGCCCCCCAAGTATCCTCGTTTTCTCGCCATTTGCTAGCTAGTGTGTCTTACACAGCCTTTCAAAAAATCTAGATTTGTAACAAAAAAGTATTAAGTGTGTTTTTACTCACCGTTTTTTTACCTCTTATCCGTAGTTTTTAGCAGGGTTTTTGGTTCGTTTATTTTGTTCAAGGGGAGTTGCTGTAGTCACAATTACGTGTTTTTCATTATCTTCTATTTTCTCTTGTATTGCATTTTATGAAGTCGCACTGTGTGCCAGTGCTATCATATGGTACAAGGCTTAGATAAATGATACTTATCTAGGTGTTATGGTGTGATGTCAAACAAATTTACACTTTGAACAATTCAATGTTTTAATGCTTTGAAAGTTTGAATTTTAATAATGCAATAATCTTATTGATTTATTTGATAGATGAAAACTATCAATAATTTCATAATTAATAATTGTGAAAAGGAAATGAAGTATTAATTAACAATGTGTTTACACTTAAAAATATTCATGAGCTGAAAATATATTTTCAAACATGCATAGCTTGATCATATATAAAACTCAAATATATTACATCAAAAAATAAAAAAAATAAAAAATTTGATTAAATATGCATATCATTTTAAAGGAATAAAAATTTATTGATATAATAGTTATTATGATAAAAAAATTAGAATAATTTGTTCGATAAATTTTTTGATGAATGAAAGTATAAAACACATTATAATCTCTGATTTTTCTAATCATAAATACAGTTTTTTTTTAAAAAATCTGATAATCAAGATCAACAATATACTATGTTGAAGGATTGATAAAAATTATTTTTTTGAAGTGTGGAAATATATTTTGAATATATGAAATATTTATATTAAAAATATTAGTATAGTTTTGCTAGAATTAATATGTTTTGCATAGATTTTAATCTACCAATGTTAAATATATCTAAATTTAAATTTATCATTTTTGGAAACTTTTTTTGTATTGATTTTGATGCTAAATTTCATATCAACTAGTTATATGTCAATTTAATAATATTATAAAAATATTTGAGTAAAGAATGTAATGTTCAATAATCTTTTAAAAATATTTTTAATTGATTTGAATATGATTGATTTATATTAAGATTTGTTTTGATGTATATAAATTTTTGATGAAAATTGTTTGTAACAAAAACCATAACTTTTTTTTATAAGATTTCAAATATCTAGTAACAAATGAGACCACATTTGCTATCAATGCATTTTTTCTATTTTTGTTTCATGAATTGATCTGGAATTTTTATAATAGATTATGCTAAATTTTTTTTAATAACAATTGGTATTTGATATGTTGTAAACCTAACTTCATTCATATTATATATGTTATATTTATAAATTATCAAGTTTTTTATTTTTCATATATATTTTTTTGTAAAAAAAATTTAAAAGAAAACTAAAACAGATTTTGATTGCATTTTATTATTCAATAAAGAAGTTAAAAAACTCAAAATTTAAATATATTATACATTTCATGATTTATACAAGATTACAAAAATCTTATGTGAATTTTTTTTTGCGAATTATATATATTTTGCATTTGATTCAAATGGATATTAATATGAAGATATTAAAAGTAATTCTAGTGAGCAATAAATCCAGGTTCTTATTATTTTACAATAACATATCATCGGAACAAATGAATAGTTGCAAATACCTCAAAATCAATTTTTCTGATGATTATTTTTTGAGCAATTTGTGTTCAAAAGAGAAGAGGTATCGGTTACAAAGCTCTATATTCATTGTTAAACCATTGTAGAATAACTCATCTAATCTCTTGAGAACTTTGGATTTTTTTTATTTAAAAAAAAGCTGTTGCTGATAGTGTTACATGGATTCCAAGTGTGAGATCGGGTTGTAAAAAGATAGACTTGGAATGCATGAAAAGAATGTTAAAAAATCTTTCTACAGAAAAAAATTAAATGCAACCAACAAACTGTATATGTCAACATGTTCTTGAAAAAACATGTTGTATTACTCTAGAGACTAAAGCTCTTTGCTTGATCATCATATTACATCAGAAGGTTGAGACCTCTTGATGCTTCTCGTCTTGCACATCAAGCTTTGTGAGCCACACGTGCTATAGAGTGGTTATTGAATGTGTTGATTTGATTTTGAAAATGGAATGTTACGGAACGAGATTGAAAATTGCAACTGATGGCCCATTGCAATCATCTACAAAAGTAATTTATCAACATTATTTAGAGCAAATCAGACATCAAAATGCAGTTATATCAACTTCATGTTAATCTTATGTTTGTATATTGTGAATAAAGGCACATGCTTGCGAGAATTTCAACATTCTTACATCATATTGTCACACAACATAGGAATGAATCTCATAGGCTAGTAATTGAGGTATGACGATGGTTTAATATTGACATGAATCAACAAATTTGTAGATAATGTGAGGAAGAATATTTTGAGTATGAAGAACATGTGTTTGTTACATGTCTAAGATATGAAGAGATTAAACTAGCTCATAAGATAGATGTGGAGAATATATATTCTTTATTAAAGCTAGTGAACTATGTTTTAGTTTGTTAATGTAATCATCTTTAGTTAGCTAGAACTAAAGTAGATGTTTCTCTAAATATTGATATAGATACTTTAGTGTGCACTAGTCATAGCTGCCACAGCAATGAGCCGCGCGCTTGGTAGGTACATAGTGGATGTGTTAGTTGACAGTGCCACGTCAGAAATCCGTGTGCTTGTAGATAAGGATTGAGTGTATTAGTTGAGAGCGCCACGTCTGCAATCCGTGTGCTTGTTAGGATTATTCGTCACGTCATCCATCCACTATGAGTGGGATGGATAGTGGGGATAAGATCTTATCTCATTGTATTTGTTGGTGAGAGCTATATAAAGAAGAATAGAACCATTGTTGGTATCTCTCATGTTCAAAATTTACATTTTTATTTTCGATTGAACTTCTCTCTAAACTCTAGTGTAACTGTTAATGTCATTATTCACTTTATTTAATCACATGCAAGGAGAAAATCTTTAGGGTATTTTTCATATCATTTATATAAATAAATATTATGATTATTTTAATTATGTTTTTTCTCATACATAAATTTTTAGTACATTTTTTATAAATATGAAGACAAAAAATCAAAAAAACTTTGAAATCTAAAGTGAAAAAAGTGAATTTTAAACAAAATTTAAATATTAAAAATATTATTAATATTAGCTCATTAATATGATCAATGATTCAAACATCCAAAAACATAAAGTGAAATCAATAAATACTCACAATTCTAATCTTTTAAACTTTTAATACCATTTCGACTTGATTTTTTTTTCTATCTATTTAATATGTATCAATGATTTGTTTAGGTGTTAGCTTCATAATCAGCAATATGTTTTTAGCTCTTCCTTTTTTTACCGATAATTTATTATTATTATTTTTATATAGAAACATATGATAATTATTTCTAGAATGGTTTAGCTAAGAACCATCGTAGAAAAAATGCACACATCATGTGGATATAGTTTTATCAAGCGTAGCATACATAATAAGAGATGTGAAAGAAGCTCATAGAGTTTGGTGATTCTGAGTTTGTGATATCAGTATCGGTAATTGTATTAAATATTCTCACCAAGATCATGAAATCGATCGATAAAAAACTTTACTGCCAGGAAATGAAGAGTTGTTAACAACGTTACCCGTAAGTTAAGCTCGTCGGACAGTTGCCTGTGATCCTATGTTCAACGAAGTACCCCTCTCTCTCTCTCTCTCTCTAGATGTTACGGATATCCCATGAATGAAAACGAACAATAATCGCAGGAAAAAGAATGCGCTCCAACTTCATTAAGTCAATGGCGTGGCACTCCTCCTTTGTGCACAATAAACTGAGATACCAACAGGTTCCGAGCGAGGCCTGCTGGGTGGGTTTCGCTGGAGGAGGGCCGGTGGCATAAGCGCCCACGGAGCCAAGACCCGCAGGAGAGCTCCACATTAATCTACGTTCCCAACAGGCATGCTCGTGTACGTGGGCCGATGATAACAGTCGGAAGTCCACGATGGATACTCCACGGTCCGCGGCGAAAAGAGAAGACAAAACGGTTGAAGATGCAGGAAATTTCGGCCTGCAATTGTCATCGAGCAAAAACGCGAAAGTTTGATCGGAAGTCAGAGACAAATAGCGAAAATTTGAATAAAATGAACGCCCTTTCACCCCAACGTTTCCTCGCCCTCGAGCCAAACCGTGCATGGATGAAACGGAAGGCGTAAGATGCGGCTGGCCCAGCCCTGCCCTGCCCTACAGCATCACAAAAGGAAATGTGTTCCCTTCGCCCTGAGTGCACGAGCCGGGTCACACTTGTACACGTACGCGGGGACAGTAGCCAGTCACAGGGTTATAGTGCGCGCAGGTCAAATGCCGGTCAAAGCGAGATGTGACACCATCGCCGGTCGCGGATGGTTAGCGATGGCGGGGCGGGCTGTACCGTGAGCGAATGGAGTGGTGTGGGTGGACGAGTGGGGCTCTCTCTCGGTGTGGGGCCTGCTGTGCCGTTCTCGTAAAGAAGTACGTTGGGGGGCCTATCTTGGTGGTCCCACCTTTGTGGGGAATGAAGGAAGCGAGGACGGAAGGAAAGCGAGACCTGCTATTATTACCGGGAGCTCGGAGGCGAGGTGGCGGATGCTGATTGGCGCGGGGTGGGGAGAGAGGGAGCCAAAGGAAGGAATTTGAGGAGAATTGGAGAGTTAACTGAGGGGAGTGAGCAGTGGAAGACCAAGGAAGGGAAGGGGAAGGGGAAGAGAAAGACAAAGAGAAAGGAACTGAAGGAGTCTGTCTATCGGTATCTCTATCTCGGTCTCGAATGGTCTCATTCGGTATCTTCCTTCGAGGATCTTCCGCGCTGCTCTTGCGCTTGCTCTCGTCCGGAGAGGGGTTTTGTTCTGTTGTGGGTGTAGTTTAATGGTTTTGTATTCGGGAGAGGAGCAAGGGGCAGCAAAGCAAAGCCGGACAGACAGACGGACAGACAGACGGTTGGGTTGGGTTGGGTTTAGGGGCTGGGAGTGGTTCCTTGTTGTCCTCCCTGCTGCCTTGCTCTGCTTCCTTTGCCTTGTGCTTGTGTGTGCCACACAGCGCTCTCCTCTCCAGACAGACCGTCTTTCGTGTTCTCTCCCCGCCTGTTGTATTCGCTGCTGCTGCTTTTCTGCAGCAGCTGCCAGCAATTGCCTTGCCTCGCTCGGCGCCTGCAAGCAGCAGCAATATGCTCGCAATGGATGCGCGGGTCAGCCAGCGAGCGTGAGCCGGAGTACAAGGACGGGCCAGATTCGCGTGGTCCGGATAGTTGCCACTGTCTTCCTGCTTCGGCAATCGGAAATAATCCAACAGGACGCGAGCAAGATCAGAAGTTGGAGTGGGCAGGCAGGAGCGAGAGAGGGCGTTGCGGGTCGGGATTTGGAGTAAAACCAGCGTCTGGGCGAGTGATCTTCCGATACGTCGAAGATTGTGGGGGAGATCGGAGAACGGGAAGTGGATCTTGAAGATTGACACACAGAGCGTGGGATCGTGAAGGATTTTGAGCAGGCTGAGATTTCTCGTACGAGGCGAGAGGGAGATGGATTAGGGTTTGGAGAGAGTACTATGGAGTGTAGGGGTGGTATGAGCTCGTAGTGGATTCAGGTGGCCAATGAAATCTTTAGGTTGAGGATCGAGAAATCAAGGGAAGGCGCGCTGGAAACGGAGCGAGACGGATTGAAGTTGAATTTGAACCATGCGGAAGAGAGAGAGGGAGAATCCGTGCTATGTATGTGGACATTATCACAAATACGAAGATGGTGAGGTTTGTGGGATTTGTGGGCATCGACAGCAGGAAGCGACGGAGAAAGGGCCGCAACAAAGTGCATTTTCCACCGAAATTCTTCCAGCGTTCTTGTACCTGGGCAGCTATGATAATGCATCCAGAGCAGAACTCTTGAAAGCTCAGGGCATCACACGCATTCTCAATGTTTGTGCTCTTCCTTCAAGCCAGTTTGAATTGCACTGTGAAGAGTTGGATCTGTATGCCATTCTGCCAACTTGGGGATTCGAATTTGGAGATTTGTTTATCCGATAATTTAGGACTGGTTTCACTAATTGGCAGCTTCTACCATCTCAGGAATCTCTCCTTCGCGTACGGTTTTCGTCTTATTCTGCAAATTTTCGAACGCGTCATTATCCTGGATGTCCTACTGTAGGCGTCGTGTGTATAGTTTGTATTCCAGGGCTGGCTATGTCGCCTGCATACAATATGTGAGGAATATTACCTTTCCCCTTTATCCAAACCTGTTTCTTTGTTCACAACTTCACAAGTTCTCGTCAGGAGCCGTAGGCGTCTCTTACCGAGTGTCACGGTCTGTACAATTGCTCATGCCCAACTCCTGTCCAGGGTCTGATGTTGGCAAATACGTCATTCTGCTTGAGCATTGCCCCTCCCATTTGTCCATCCGTCTTGCTAGAGCTCTCAATATATCTGGGACGTCAGCATCCTTGTAATCCGCTACTTCCGTTGATGTTCTATCATCTGGACAAAGTTCTCTTTTGAAAGAGAAGCGAAACTCCATCTGTCTCGAACTTTTAATCACAATTTGTTGATACATAATAATTTCTGATGTGACATTCGAAGGGAAAGTGAACAAGTACATGAACAAAGGCTGAGGATTCAGGAGAATTGGTCTAGAAAGAGGAGAGTGGAAGAAGAATACGCAAAAGACGGTGGCGAATTTTTTACCTTCGTAAAAGTTTTTTATAGAACTCCACTTAATATTAGAATAGATTTCTTCATCCTGCCGATGTGATGAAAGCCTGAATTCATGCAAATGAAACGATGCAATAGAGTTTAGAATAGTTCATTTAGCTGGTCGTTGAGCTTGGATCAGTGGGTTCAAGTGCACTCATCGATGCAAGTCAAGTACTAGAGAGGAGAACTCGATGCACTATCTTATACACGACACTTGTGTCCATGGAATGGTAAACTCTCTTTGACAGGGAAGAGTTACAGTCTTAGAAGCGGAGAGGAACGTTTGTTTGAGATGCTTGGCTGCCTATTCAGCTAAAATTGAGATACGTTTCTTGATTAGAATGTCGCTGAGTAGGTCGTGTAGTTGATACTGTCCATTTTATTACAGAGTCTTGAATATATTTCAAGACTAGAAGTAATGCGGCGGTGTAGTCTTTATTGCCCTCGTGGATCTTTGGATTTGGGAATCTAGAGTGTACTTTCTAGAATATGATCAGGAGAACATGCGCCGACCTGCCTCGTCGAATGGTGAGAAACGAGATGTGACTTTCTTGAGTAGTGCTGTGGAATGACTCTTCGTTTGCGGAACAATTTAAATCCTTGTTCTGAGGCGTGGTACTTCGTTTTCTTGACATTTGTTAGCTGCACGTCAGCATGAACTTAAATATTTCGCAACGTATGGTTTTTGCTTCACGCGTTGCTAATGTCATTCATACCATGTATTCTTGCTTCTCATTTGCTTCCTCCTGCGGTCACCTAGACTTTGAAAGTGACCTTCTATTAAAGTAACTTCGTGTTCTGATACCGGTGAGGTTGTGGCACGTGCAGACTGTACCAGCTTGTCAGAACCTCTACAAAAATTCCTTCAGCTATTACAGCTTGAAAGAAGACAAGACACTACCATTGGATGAGTGCGTGGAGTACGTTGGTATGCATTATTCACTTTCAGTTAGAATCTCTTCATAGGACTTCCTTTTCCTGTCAAAACTTTTAAAGTTGTAATAGTATTGGTACGACTGTACAGACATCCTCTAAATTTGTCGGTCTTCTGATGAGTTAATAGCCGGGCTTGAGATCATGGGCCATATTATAGCAAGTGGAAGTGTCCCGAGATTCTTGCCTTTAACTATCTTGCTCTTTGCGCAGAGCAAAGCAGGAGGGATAAAGCGAGAGTGTTGGTGCACTGTATGTCTGGCCAGAACAGGTATGCGTTTGAGTCTCGAGTTTTAGTCGCCTGCATCTTTATAAACGCGTGATGATCAACTTTATCGCAGCACAACTCAAATTTTTTATTTTTCCGGTGACATAGTCGTCATGGAAAGGATAAGCTGTAATAACAATAATTTTTTTCTCTAACATTTTGTTGAAAATATAGAAGGATATCAGCTGTGCCCAAAGTATTATTAAAATTCTAGCACTCTTAAAAGTTACCCAGCACTTGTTTATGTTGTATGAAGTCATGAATCAATAAGATCATGTCTACAATGTACCGTGCACTTTATTTTCTTTACTTTCAAGAAATGTATTGTGTTAATTTTCTTTGAAAGTACCCATGTCTTTCATTTATAACTTGTAATATGAGTTTTTATGTTCCTGAAGCTTTACTTTACTGATTTCTTGCAAGAACAGTAGTTATTGCTTTATTTGTATTGGTGGATGCATATATAATGTTGTAATAGGGGCTTGCTTTTCTCGAACCCCAGTATTACCGTTCACCCTATGATTCTTTGCTCGACTGTTATCTGGAGCCACTCCTCCTCTGTCTTCTTGTTTGTGGTCATTTCTCCTTTACTGTGATCATTAATGATTCACTCTGAACCATGGAATTTGAGGTTCTTCTGTCGATTTGCAATACCCTGCAGTCCCTGATTTGGAAGTGCCAAGTCATGAAAGGAGACAGCCTTTTTGACAACTGTCTCATGAGTACTTGAAATGCCTGACTTTATGTCCAGCCTTTGATATTGCTGTAATGTAATTATCTTCGGCTTTGCTTTATTGCAGGTCACCTGCAGTAGTTATTGCATATTTGATGCGGCACAAACGATGGCGGCTTCCGGAAAGCTATCAGTGGGTGAAGGAACGGAGGCCATCAATAAACCTAACCTCTGGTACTTTCAATCGATTTTTTGCTTTGTTGCTCTTCTTAATCAGGAATGTATGGCGCAGGGTCTGGTGTGTAGGGTAAGACAGGGAAACACCAATTGATTACAGTTTTACATCAGGAAAGCAAGTTCAAAATCGTTCAATCTTTCTTTTCTTAAATTCTTCTCTGACACGCAAGTGCTGTATTTACAGCTATAGCTCAGCAACTGCAAGAGTACGAGGTGGAAGTCTTCGGAAATTCGGCAACGCAAGCTCCAATGCTGAGCACTCCAACTGGAGTGGCCTTCGGCTTTGGATATCCATCGGCCAACTCAGACAGTCCTCCCGTTCCCATATTTAGTCACAATCCACCGAGTTCAACTGCAGTAGCAGCAGCTGTTCCTGCACAATTTTTATTCGGCTCTGGAAGCGGTCCTCTCGGTTCGAACTTCGTATTTGGAGCTGTCAGACCGGACCAATCAATAGGTGGGAGTAGTATCATAATGGATCAGACTATGGATAGTTCTTGATTCGTTGTCGCTCTTCTTTCCCGTGTTTCCACTTACATCCTTGTACAAATGATCCTGCCTGCATGCATTTGCTCTATTGGTATTCCGTTTAGAAAAGTCTTTTCAGGATTGCTTACGCTGTTGCTCACAAGCAGCTGAGTGTGTTTCCACACTGAATCCTTCACTTGTGCTGTGTACTGTCCAACGGACATTGGATGAGGGACAGCAGTGGTTGAATATAGTGCAATTTATTGGTACATTTGCTGTCAGCAGTAACAACATACCGTAGTGGTGTACAGGAGCCTTCAGTCATCTGAAATGCTTTTGAAAGTACTTGAGCAAGATGTGGCTTGAGATATATCCTATTGGACATCCATTATTTGTACCCAAATTGTTAGTGAAGAAGTTACTTTTCTTCGTCTCTTGGTCAGATCTTAAAAAATAATATAGTAACAGATGTGTATTAGATCCCATCAATTTTGTGCGATGTGCTAAGTTCACGTCAAGGGTTATGAACATAAATAACTCCGTTCATGTTGCTCACTGTTTTGTGGTCCGATATCAGAGTTCTTACGAAACACTCTTTTGTAGAAAATGTGCACAAGTACTTGTTTTGAACTAAGTAAATTTGGCAATTTTTGGGGCTTCAAAAATCTTAGTCTTCCCCTAGATGAGTTCGCCACATTGGTATGTATTGTGTCCCCAGTAAGCGCAGTTCATGAAGATCTTGTTACGCAATCATAGGCTAGTTTCTTTCCCAACCGTGATGCCGGGGACACGAGCAGCAGAATCGGAAGCCAACTTTAGGTCTCCATATTTGTGGGGCCACTCACGTTGTAGAATCTTACACCTTTCCACGTCTTTTACGTTACTAACTGCCGGAACGATACCAACTGTTGCAAGATAACTTATTTTCACATCGAATGTGTCATTGAGCATTGGGGCAATATCTGGTGAGAGTAAAGTTCGTCATCATAGTCTGAGTGCTACCACATGTACAAAAACCTTTTCTGTAGGTTCTGTAACCCTACCTGCTTTGCTCGCTCACACTAAACGGTAACTCTGCCCATCCGGTCTGCTTCATTGTGTATTAGTGGTGTCCATTGCGTATTGTCTTGTAACCAATTCTGTGGAATGATGTTAAGTGTGATATTAAGGAGATGTTAAAACACTTCGGAAGTGAATATCCCTTACACAGTTGAAGAAGTTCTCTTTAAATTTATAGTGCCTGCCACACGGTAAATGCTGGGTTTGGATGTATATTCAAAACTTTCAGTGATCATCAGTTGAACAATTTCCGGAAATAAGTTGGGCCAAAACACCCTCTACAAACCAATGGAAGTGCTCAATCTGCCCATGAGATCTACGACGTCCTGCATTGATTCAAACCTTTCCTTTCGAAAGGTGTGAAACAATGAAGCGGGGGGCTGATAAAGACCTGATACCGCTTATAAGCCCGAAGTAGTCCACCGTCATGATCCAGCTCAACCACACGGGTCATCAGAGAGTAACTTGGGCAACTTGTCAACCCAACTTGCCAAACACAAGGAATGTGAATACACTCATGCTATTACTTGAGGAAAATTGAATCACCAGTGAACTTAGTTTCTTAGCACAAATTAGATGATTTTGAGCTTGAACTCATGTGAAAAAAGTATGGGTTTATATTGAACCAAATGAATTCTAGAACTAATTGATTTTTTACAAGAAATAGAGGATCGTATTGGTATAGAAAGCATATCATCATTGTGGTTCACTATAAAGATTTGACTCAGAATCTCAATCTTTGAATCGATATTAATGATGCAAGTTTGGAATTACACATTGTTACTATCGAGTGTTTTTAAAAACATTCCAAATCTGGACTTCAAAATCTCTTAACGTTGAAGAGAGAAAATAAGAAAATTCGTCAGCTGAGGAAAAAAACCGAAGAATCATCAAGTGATTCCATGAATGTGTTGATATTTGTAGCTTTTTTTGTAGTAACATTGTCACATAAAGTATAATTCAAGCTTGAATCTAGCTAAAACTAGTTCAGTGTTATGTATAGCTGTTCCATTTGACCACAATCAATTAGTCAAAATATCAACACATTCACACGTTTTGTGGTTCAAAATTTCTCAATTCACTAGCTTGGAAAGTCGCCGACGGAGTATGGATCCTGCGTCGTGAGAACATGAGTGGAAGGGGGGTCGGAAGGGGTAATTGGGGGTCCCAATGTAACAATTTTGACATTTCCTGAACTTTCTATGTTGATGAAGGGAGCTCTTTCAACAATGATGGTTGAACTTAGTGCTTCCACCACGTTCGCCCTACATTGGATTGCTAGTCCCTACGTTTATAAATTGATCTGGATCCCGGGAAAAGATGAATTTGAAGTCCAGATGTTGTCCTGGATGGCATTCACTACAAGAAGGAAGATAAAGCTTTCGGATGTTCAAACTCTACTCACTCAGCGTCCTCTCGTCACGTTCTCAATTTCTTAGTACCTGAGAATCCTGAGGAATTGCTAGCTGAGAAGCATGAGGAATAGATTACTCTCATTCATTTACTTCTTAGTAGCTGGGACGATCCTGCCACCGCTCGCCTTCAAATGGCATAAGGAAAGATATTTTTCTATATATACTACAATTTGCTTCTCGAATTATAAGAAAAATTATATAACCGTATTAGAGAACAACGATTAGTGGATATTGGTCTTGTCATTGCACTACAAGCAGTGGCAGCTTTTAGATTCAGCAGTGTAATGTTAAGAGCCTATAGGATTCCTAGAATATATGTGATATTAATCTGAATCTAAACCATGACACTCAACTAATTTTGGATTTTTATTTTCCTGTGAAGACAATGATATGAATAAAAATTTCTATCGCATCTTTGAAGCTATTTTGTTGTTCAAAAATTTCAAGTTAACTCCATTCAATCGATTTTTTTGTGCTAATATGATGCATCTTGCTTTGAAAAAATTTAGATTAATAAGGCTTAAAAATTTCATTATTAAAACTTATAATAATGAGATTATTTTTATCCATTTAATCCAGATTAATATTTTTATAAATATCAGTGTCACAGTTATGAGATTTGAATCTGGACCCCAAAAAAAAATTAACACTACCATTCCAAGCTAGAAGGCCAATTTTATTTTATTTAGCATTCAAGTTGTAGAGCAATTAAAAGATTTTTCAATATATTTTTCAATAAAAAAAGATTTTTAAAAAGTAAGACATGAAAATTTTGAATGTGAGTGAATAGTATCTGATGCATAAAATTAAAAAATTTGAGAGCAAAAAAATCAAACTTTAATTATTAAAAATATTGTTTGAAACTATTTTTTGTTTTCATAAGCTTTAAAAAAACATGATTGAATAAATATTATTTAAAAATAAAATTTATAATTAAGAAAATTATTTTTGAACTTAAATTAAAATTTTAAAATATATAATGTATGCCATTTTTTAATCATTTTTAAAATATGATTTATTGAATTAAAATTCATTTATTTTCATCTTATAATCTATAATGAAAGTCTGCATTTAAAAAAAATATGATCATTGAATGATCTTTGAGATTTTCAAATTTCATTATATAAATAATAAAATAATATATTTTATAATTGGTTATATCTATACAAAATAGATTGGAATATTTTTACTGATGAAACAGTAAAACAGATTTCAAGTACATCTTTAGAGCTTTTTATATGTTTATATACAATAAAGTCATTACTTCTCATCGAAAAATAAGTAAGTTTGATGTTGTTCTTGATGTTTTCAATCGTTGTTTTCAAAATCCTTGACTTTGCACTTGGCATAATTTATCAAGTTTGCTACTTGATTATTCACAATTATTGCAACAATCTATGCTACACATTTGAAATTCATTGAAACTTAAGTGTACAAGATGTCATTAGTAGTGGAAATACCAAGCTTGATTCACAATTGATGAACTGAGATGAAGAAAATCAACTTTCTTGGAGTATAAGAAAAAATTAAAAGTGTGTTTTTAATAATTCTATGACGAATTTTTGTTGATACAAGAAGTTTTGTGGGTTAATTTATTAGAGAATAAGTAGCTTAAAAGTTTTGATAACACGTGTTTCATCAAAACAAAATCATCAGTTGCAACATACACAGAGTTAAAACAATTTTATCAATTTCATTACTTTAGTTTTTTATGTAGATGACATGTTGATTTTGGCAAAAAAATCAATTTGATTTCAATATATGTAGGAACAAATTAAATATGGATTCAAAATACGGATTTTGGACAAGTTTTTTGGACATATTATAGATGAATGTTCAAATAGATTTCTTTAAAAAAATTTATGATCACATCAATATAAGTAAAGTTTATATGTGTTTGACATCTTTAACATAAAAATTCTACATAAGCATGATATTTTTTGACAACACCTTTAAGCTACCTACAACTCTATGTCTAAAATCATGCTTTTGGAACATCTCAAGGGGTTGGAACAGCTATCTTAACTTTTATGGGTGGATTTCATCCACACCTACCTCAATAATTCTGTATGATAGTTGTTCCAGTTTTAAACTGAGAAAGAGATCTAAAAGTTATATATGAATCTCTCTGAAGTTTCAAAGCTAATATTGGGTTTCGTTTTCCTTGCCATGGACCTGGAAGAGGACGTACATGTCAAGTATCTGCGTTTCTTGCACAAGATTTTACGACGCAAGCGGCATTATATTCTCATCATCAATATATTGCTGGTTTTATTATGACAGGTGTCTTTGCTCACGGCGGGCTTTTAGTTTAATGTTCTTATTTAGTGGTCGTGGATATTGGCAAGAGCTTATTGAATCCATTGTTTGGGCTCACAACAAATTAAAAGTTGCTCCTGCTATCCAGCCTCGTGACTTAAGTATCACACAAGGCCGTGCTGTAGGAGTAGCTCATTACCTTCCAGGCGGAATTGCCACAACATGGGCATTCTTTATAGCAAGAATTTTTGTACCTAAATATTCTTTACTAGCACTTTTAGGTCCTTGTGGTTTAGGAAAATCTAGTTTATTACTAATTATCGCGGGTTTTGACAATTGTGGTTATGGAAATATATGGTTACATGGTATAGATGTTACTAATGTTTCCCAAAAAGAAAAGATGAAATAAGTTTATTATGATCTCATGTATTTTATGATATGCACGAAAGACATGAAATTGCTTTAGCTACGTACAAGTAGATCATGTACATGTGAAATTTAACAAAGGTGTGTGGGCAAGCTTTGAAGTTAAACTTTTAAGTACTTCAAGAATAATAAAAATTATTTTTTTTTTAAGTTTACTTAATGATGTCTAAGTATTGCTATGTAACATTAATGTTTATTTTTAACAAAATTTTAATTCAAAAAAATAATTATTTGGAGTTATGTTTACACTTGATGGTGGATGTATTAACTTTGACTTCCTAGGGATAAAAGCAACCCCTATGACCTCACCGTTTTTTCCTACACGGCTTGTCCAAAAACCTTCGTTTTTGAACGCCATGTGCTTAAGATGTCGTTTAGACTCCTGTCCCTAGTAATATAGGTAATCTGCTCCATCTTGAACTCTATCCTTCCATACGAGAGAGTAGGTAGAGGACAAATCATTTATGACCTGGTTGATATATACCAACAATAGG